TGCTGATACTCCAAGACACACCCAGGGCTGCTCTACCCATAATTGGGATGTGAAGATTACCGATGCTATCCCTTACAATGCTCTCAACAAATAGGGTTCAGATGTATTTATATCTGAATATGTTCTTTATAGTTCTATTGCTTAACATGGCACATTCAATATGCTACCATAGGCACTTTATTAGTCTTGGATTCTGAGTCCTTACTCCTTAGACTTATTCAATATTTAGTAGTAATAATTATGCTGCACAACATCTGCAGCCTATGTTTTTTTTTATTTTTATTATATACTTTCTTACTATATATTTTACTTTATTTTGAAGGGTTACTACAGCACTTTTACAGGGGTTAGGGGACCTTTCCACTGTAATATGCCCTATTGGGCATTGTGGAGAAGGCCCCTCCCTCCTCTTGCTGTAAAATTTGAAGAAAATAATTTTACCCACCGTGAATCCAACACGGTGAATCTTCTGGCGCTGCTCTTCCACACCCCCTCCTGACGTCGCTGGCCCCACGTATCGTCCACTCACAGACCTCTCCTAGAGTGTTGCATGGAGGGAGGCGGGAGGGATCACCCACAGGGAGGGAGGGGAGAGCTAGCTTCCCCTTGCAAGCGTTCTGCCTACAAGGGGAAGATGTTCATGTCTGCTGTGCGCGCTGACAACAATTTATGCACAGAATTGACATTACTAGCCCGGAACAGAGTTGGGCTAACAATGTTACCTGTGAGGGGGGTGTAACTAGTCCTCAGCACACAATTAACAATATCTCAGTATGTGAAGCACTCTACCAAAAAACAAAGCAAGTGCTAATAAGAGGGAAAAACATAGTTTAAATATATATAAATATACAATAATAAAAAATAATTAAAAGTGATAAATAATAACAGTGATCCAATAATGTAATAAAGTGAAATAAATCATTTTAGTAGAGACTAACAATTTGAGGATAGCGCACACACTGAAAATACTGACTCCTACCACCATGACCACTTCAAATCACTGAAGTGGTCATGGTGGTTGGAGTAACCCTTTGAGTAAGAACATATGACAGTCAACACCCTACGTCACAGTGTCCATCTCATGGTACACGTTTTTTAGTTTAGTTCACATACGTCATGTGTCATTTGTGAATTAGCAGTCTTGTCTTGTCTTATCTTACCCTTCAGGGTAATGGCATAGCTGACTCATTTGCTTTCGTTTCTTTTTACTAAAGGAGAGGTAATGATACATTTTGTGAAATGTTGTACTATCTCACCTTTGTTATGGTTTATATCAGCATTATTTATAATATATGCTTTGCATATGCCTCAATTAAACAAAAACTGATTAACAAAAAAATAAAAATAATCATCCAGTTAGATGAGTTAGATTTTATAGATGTATATCCACTGGATGGGTGCACATCCTAAAATAATGATGAGTGTAAACCTGTAACAGACAGTGAGGGTGTGAGGTGGTCCCTTTGGGGCAGCCAGCAGGTAGCTCACAGTGAAGGTGTTATCACAGGCTGCACACTGGTGGGCGTTGCTAAGAAACGGAAGGTGGAACTGCTAGCACACTTGCTGTTTGTCTGTTGCTTTGACGACGGAACTCCGAGACATTCTAAAGCGTGTTCTCCCGTTGCTAGGTAACGGCGTTCGGATTTTTTTTTTTTTTTTGCTGGTCTGGTTCTGTGCGGCCTGGACCCGGAATCACGGAGATAAGTGGGTTTCTGGGGCCATCTTCTAATCCCATTAATGTCACACTGAGGGGGTGAGCGTTTTATTCCCACTACATGTGTATTTCTTGAAAGTGTCTGCCTTGATACTCTAAAACCCTTTCAGTAGCAGGGAAGAGGAGAGCAGTGAATTCAATTATTGCACAATCTCCTGTCTCCTTTACCAGGAGCTGTGTTTAGGCAGCTTAGCTGCAAAACTTCTTTTTTTAAAAACATTTTTTATTATAAAATAAAACATAATAAGATTGAACATGGAGCTCTGATTAAATTGGGACGATAGCTATTTTCTCTCATAATAAAGTAATGAAGTACTCTTTTGATGTGAAGAATAGTAGTGGTAATTCACACATTATGAAGTCAAAATGTGTTACAGTATGAGTTCTGTCTGTGTTGTGTATCAAACAAAAATAGAGGCACAGGAAGTACAAGGTCAAAAGAAATGGGATAGACAGAACAGATCTTTATAAATACAATATTTTACCAGGAAGGATACATTGGATTTCTCTAGTTTTCAGGTATGTCCTGGGTATACAAGATAAAGATCTCTGATTAGAATTCATGGGTTAATCCATACCTCCCACGTGTCCCTATTTAGGAGGGACAGTCCCTATTTTGAGCCAAAGTGTCTATCTTACTGTCCCTCTTTTCTGTTGTTGTGTCTGAGTGTATAACAGAGTTCCCCAGCAACGTGTCTTTTAATATACAATATATGTATTTAGCAATCAGTCTGTGTAAATTAGATAAATTGTTATTGTTTAAAATCACATTTTAGTTGCCTAAATTGTTATTAGCAGGTCACCTTAAATTTCTCTGAACAGTCACAGCCCCACTCATACCCCTAAGATTAAAGTGTCTGTCTTTGTTTATTTATAATATAGGGAGGTATGTTATTCATATTAAATGAACATGCTCTGCTTAATTCTGCGAAAATCTATATATTTCCCCCAGTCTGGTTAATCAGATTTACTAAATACAAATCTGGGGTTAATTTGTTTCAGATAGTCATCAAACACTGAAAGATTAGATGTTCCAATAGGAGGTACCTGAGGTGCACCTAGGGGCATTTGGTATCCATAATGGACTTCTCTGTTGGCAACTCGCTCTACAGAATTTGAATTTATTTTAGTGTTGCCTGCACTACCTCACCCTCTTGTGCTTCTGTCTTGAGAACCCCAATCTGCTCATGTGCCTTTAAATCCTTCTCCGATACAAACAGCTTGTAGTGTGAATGCGCATTTCCCTGGGAGAGGGTAAGCATGTTCGTCTGCCTGGTTTGTGAATGTAACTTTGATTGAGCAGCATGTGAGTGGAGAGAGGGAGAGTTTTGACATTGTCACGTTCCTGTCCCCTCCACTCACTCACAGCACTGCATGGAAGCTGGAGGTTCATTGACAGACTCCCCATAGGAGTATACAGAACAGCAAAGAGACAATGTGAGGAGGGTGGGTGTGCTCTGTGCGTCTCTCTCTGGCTATCACCCAGGGTGGAGGTCCCTACCGTTAGCATGGTACTGGAACTGGGAGGAAGAGTACAAAATAAATTCATCTTTTTTTTCCTCAGGTAAAACTGTAGAAATCCACAATATATTCCTACTGGCCCTGCAGCAGCCAGCGGGCAAATCATTATAAAATAGATCAATTTAAACAAACAGCTGTTAACCAGGAGCGACCCAGAGATGCAGTCTCTCTTCAGTTTTTACAACATAAATTGTGATATGAGAATTAATGATACAGGAAGTGTGGAGGGTGCCCGAATGTTTCAATGTATTTCATTTATTGATTGATTGATTGTATATTTACCAGATATTGATCTTCCCTAGTGATCCCTGAGCCTTTGCAGACAATTGTTGGGCAAGTCGGACTGATTAAAATAAATTCCAAATAGTCAGCTTGCTAAATTACGGAGGATAATAAGTCCAGTCAGTGATCACTTTAATTTCTATAATCTTCTGAACTGACCTGATTTCTACTGAATGATTTTCTCCAAACTAGCCAGAGTACAGGGTTATTTACCAAACAGTGATTTGAAAAAAGTGAATTAATACTGAAGTGAGCGGTGGAGATAAGTATGAAACACACCTACCTGTGCAGCACTTTAGTGACCTGGGTGATATCACTAATGCACCCTCTAGCATCTACTGAGAAATGCCACGTGCCCGCACAGGCCGTAATGTTATTAATTTACATGGTGCCCTCTGAGAGTTCTAGGACAGCCATGCATTCAGCAGGGCGCCTAACTGTTGCTCTTCTAAATTCCTGATTTTGATGTTTCTGTCCCTCCATCTCCCAGTTTAATTTCCTGGTGTCCCACATCCAGGGGCATCAGGAAACTGTCCTCATGCAGCACGGTCATTAGACACACTTGCAGTAGGAGCATTTCGTGAGCGCTTCAGCAGCACTCTCAGCATGGGCCTACAAGACCCACTAACAGACTGTCTGTCAGCCTGGCATCAAGCAAGCCCACTTCCCAAGCAGGTCAACCCATTGGGGAACTTCCTTAAGATCCACCACTTTGTCAAGATGGTCAAGCGTAGGAAAAATACATTAAAAACAAAGTAATCCGTATTCTGTCTTTTGTTTTAAAGAGAAATAAATTTAAAAATAAAGAAAAGAAGAACAGATTGTGAAATACAATGAGAACACACTAGGAGAATGGTAAGTTTGAGGTGGCAGAGACAATTTAAGATAAACTGATAGTCACGGCAAGATTTGGAAGACCTCGAAAAATCGCCAATATAACTGCTCGAAGACTGGCGAGGAAAGCGAAACAAAACCATTTAGCTTGCATTCAAGTTATATACAGCAATATCTGAGCAAATGTGACGTGCATGCTAGGGTCAGCAGTAGGAAATATGACCTGTGATCTTTTCACAAAGCTAAACCTATGCAATATGACACTTACAGGGTTATTTGCTAAAACGAAAATTCAAAGTGAATTCAAGGAGAATTTCAATATAAGCCAGACTAAAAACATAGCTGACTTAGAAACTTTGTCCAACATGGCTATTTTGGCCTTAAATTTGAAATTTACTTTGGATTTTCTATCCGGTTTATTTGCTAAAATGAGAATTCCGAAGTATATTGGAAACAGGAGCTGTGATTTAAAGAAAACAACACATTGAAAAGATTTAAACATGGGAATAGACTTATTCTTTCGGGCTGTGTTGCTGCCAGTGGCACAAGCAGTATTGTGAACGTAGAATGATGGCTGGATTGTACTAAATATCAATAACTCCTACCTAATCCTACCTTTGCATTTTTACTTCATCAGAAGATAATGTTCCACAGTCAGTGAAAAATCCTAAACTGAAAAGGGATTGGATTTCTGAACGCGACAAAAACAAAACTCCATACTCAAAAATCAACCATGAACTACTTCACGAAAGATTAAGGCTTTAGAATGGCATTCACAGTCCGCAGACCTAATTATTATAGAAAATCTCTGTGTGGATCACAGACATACAGTGCATAGGAAATAAAACCGTAAGTGTGAGAAGAGCAAAAAGTTATTTTTTTTTTTGTGTCCGTTAAATTTGCAAATAAATAGTAATTGTGGGTTAAAGTAAGCAGAGTCAACAAAACATGCTGTTATGTCAGGGATGCCCAAATGGTTACCCAGCTGTCCTACTCTTGGTGGTATGCATGTTGGCGGTTGTGTTCCGCCATCCCGATTTTGTTCCCTGTTGGCCTGTACCACATCACCGTCTCAAAGTCTAAAGCCTGTGAGGGCTCCTGCAGGGCTTCCAGAGTATTGTTCGACAGCCGGGAACTCCTCAGGCAAGGGGTCTGGGCGAACTACAGGAGTCTAAACATACTTTTGATTTTGGGTTGAGGGTCTGGTGGGAGGATTCATTTATCTTCTTTTGTATATATTTGGATGGGTGTATAAGGACATTATGCATTAAAAAGGGTATAATCAGAAACGTCTGTTTTTTTATATGTGTCTTTCCTATAAATATTTAGCATTTAGTAGTGCTGCTTTGTTTGTTTCTGTTATTTGTATTCCCTTGTCACTGTGCAGCAAACTCTTTAGTTCCTATACATTAAAGACAATCGTTACAACTTTCTTTCCATTGAAAATCGATCCTAGTGTAGTACAAATTGATAAGAGATAATACAGAATTAATCAATATTTTACAGGAAAACACTTCACCTTAATAAGTGCACGAATTGATGACTGAGGTGTAACATTTTAACCTATTGGTCTGTTCCTATCAAGTTGCTGTCCTGTGTTTTTTAAGTACCAAAACCGAATATATTTATGTGCCTCGTTTAGCATATTGTGAAGCCGTAGTACTTAGTTTTATGAAATTCTTCTGTCTGTTTGTTAGGAATATTTCATGGGGGGAAAAGGGAACATCCATCTGAGGAATAGAAGCTATTAGAAATCATTGACAAACAATGAAATAAGATTGACCTGCTAAATTGAGAAACCTGTGACTGGAATTAATGTGGGATAAATCAGATTATCCCATCAGGGCGAATTTCTCGGAGATGATAAGCAGTAACGGCGAGGAAAATTAGATTTAACAGTGCATTAAATTGCGTATTTAAGAAGCATCCACTGGTAGATTACTTCCAAATACCGAGTCACGCTTTTGAAAATGAAATGCAGTGCTGGTAGGGAAAAAAAAAAAAAAAACCTAATGTGCTTGTTAATTTATTATACAGGCAACGATAAAGGAGATGTCAGACAGAAGGGGACATTTGCATTTTAGACTCAATTATGCTGAAGAGTTCAGACTCAAAAAGGACTTGGAAAGATTGCTTAAACGTCCCCAAAGAGATTCGAGACCAGCCATAACGGAATCCAGGCCTGGTAGTGATTTGGCTTCTTCTCGGTGTGATCGCCTTGATTCTGCTCGTAGTCTAAGGTCTGGCATTATAAACGATTTCGCAGGCCTCACTTGCAAATCACCAGATACTGTTAAAAGTCCTGACCACATAGATCAGAATTCTAATTTGAAAGGAAGGCCAATATTGCAAAATGTAAGAACATTACCTCAAAATACTGTAGAAGAATACAGAGACTACAAAGAGCCTCAGCATGACCCTTCTCATACTAACCTCGAAAGAGTAACATTGGACAGCCATCCAAAAATGCCAGCTATTGCATCGCTAGCTGGAACAACCAAGTGTGTGTCAGTGTTTATACGTCCAGAACCTCCTGCAAAGCCCAGGTCTTGTGTTCCCCAAATACCCTCCAGACCACGTATTTCTAAAAAGCCCCCAGCAGGTAAGAAGGAGAGAGAGATTTCCAAACCAACAAGTAATGTGTACCTAAACCGCAAGAAACCCGTGGATGCAAAAACTCATCACACTTCTTCACCAGACAGTAATATTAGTAGTTCTTCCACTGATTCCGATTCAGAAGACAGTGATTATTCTAAAAGTAGAAAAAAAAGCCGTAAAAAACAGAAGAAAAGAGTATTAAAAAAAGAGGACACGTTATCTGCAAAAGAGAAATTCATGGAGGAAGAAATTGTTACTTCTGATCTCCAGAGTTCTGGCACACAGATTTCCGAGGCAACTGAATCACTGTCACATGATGGACAAGGTAGTAAAATAACGGACACCCCCCCAGAATCGAGAATTCCTCTGACACCACCTGTGAAGGCCAAAGCTAGATCAGTGGATGAAATTATAGCATCTCTAAGGTCTCCCCAAACATATACTGCATCTGATCTCAAGATAAAGCAACTAATGGAGAGTGTACTGGGTATACCCTACGACATTACAGTTAAGGTAAGTTCTTTCATTCTTATACATCCCTATTCTAAAAGAAGCTTAGTTTTCTTAATAAATCTACCCTTTTAAACACTCCCCTACAATCTACACCTCTTTGCATGCCCGCTCTACGTTTTTTATCCTCCTTTTATTTAAATCTACTCTTCTTAATATTTTTATTTCAATATCCTATATATATTTTCAGGCTGTTCCAACCCAAGATTTGGTCTTTTGCATTTTCATCTTAGAATACCACTGTGAATATTTCTGGTATAGGGGATGACAAACATTTTGTAGCTTTAACAATTCAGCCATTTATCATTAATACTGGGCACACAGAAATGGCTCGTAGGATTCTGTATCTTGGCTTGGTTTCGTAAATGTAGATTTAGGAAGCGGCTTATCCATGTCTGCTGCCGACACGCTGGTGGCTGACTAGGCCAATGCGGGACAGGCAGATCCGATCGCCGCCACAGCAAGGGAAAATTATTATATATATATATGTCATGGTGTCTTTTTCTTGATTATTAATAAAAACCAAGAAAACCGCAAAAAGGGTCATATAGTGGGCACAAGAAGAAACCTTCTACAAGTTAATCCAGGCATTTACAGGGTCCCAGGGAGCCCAAACATTGTATTTTCTTTATTAATTTCTTCATGCTCTTATTATAATTTTGATTATCTGCCATGTAGTTGCTTTTAATATAAAGGGGCAGACACATTGGTTTGAAAAATGATGTGTTTATTGCCTGTTGGCCTTCTTCATGTAGATAAGCTATTTTTATCTCTGGTCTCTGCCACAGGTAACACACATAGTGAATACTGCTGCACTTTAGCAGATTCACAATTCAGATTTGAAAAAAAATCCACAACAGAAAAAATATCTCTAAGCGATCTTAGAGAGCTGTGAATCTGTGTGTCCTCAAGTAGCTTCATTCATGAAAAAACATGAATAAATCTGCTTGGCAAACTAATATTTCATGTCACGGTTGGCATTCTTCTTTGACCTCTTAATAAATAATGCATATAATTAACTCCTTCTTAATGACATTTTAAACTCTATTACGTTTCAGTTCTTTTTGTTACCCTTTGGCTGAATTCAGTAAATTAAAATGATATATGGTCTTCCATCATAAAGTTTGGAATATTCATAATATCTAATGGTGCATATTGTTAATGAGTGTCATGAATATCAACTCACCTTTTCAGGAAGTTGCAGAAGAGCATGTACAAGAGACACAGGATTCAAAGGAGCTTCCATCGACCGAGTTTCTCCCTCCAGAACAGGTACTCTGGCAATTCAAGGCAGATTGTGTTAACTAAATTACTACAGGAGTGTCATTTAAACCCTTTGGTAGCTTTAAATTGGTAATTAAATCAAGGCATTGTTCTGTATAAGGTGACGTGATGTGATAGGTTTAAATGCAGATAGATTCATTGTGGTGCATGTATGTAGATCTTTAACTGGAAGGCCAAAATAACATTATCCCACCAGCTGTTATTAGACTGCAATACACTAAATTGTCAGTGATTTTCTATAGAAGGCTGTAGAATGGCCAAACTATGTTATCAAAATATGTTTTCTCTGTATGACAAAGATTTTAATATAAAATGTGCTGTTTAAATGTGAATAAGTTGAGTCCTTGATATGGTAATAACCTTAAGCTGTACATGGAGATAGATGGACCGTTTGACAGTTTTTGTAACTAATTCGTAACAACACTTAAAATACATTTGCTTGCAGGTTTCAAGCATACATGTTCCACAGGCCAGTGACAGTGTGTCTGGAGAGATCACTTCTATCGAAATCACCTGTGAAGCTCCATTCTCGGATATTGATACCTCAATTCAAGACAAATCCATCTCTGCTGTTGAAGAATCTGTAATGACAGAACTGGAAGCAAAATACATCCTGGAAACACCATCACACGTAAGCAGTCAGAGTTTCAGTTCTACACTTTATTTTTAAAATTTATTTTCAAAGTGTTTAAAAGATTTAATTGAAATTTTTTTATATGAATTTATTTTTTTGTATAAGCAAGCTAGGGCATGTGTAAGCATAAGAGAAACACAACTTACAGGTCTTTAAAATATTTAGGACATGTGGATATGTAATGGTTAGAAAATAAAACACTTGGGGTGCTAAAATACAGTTAGAGACATCATACAAATCAGTGAGCTAATCCAATGTTAGCCTGACCGGGTTTGCCACATATGAGAGAGGAGAGTCCCATAGTCCCCAGCAAGTCTCTCCTCTAGCCCCAGACCCCTCTGTCACGATTACTATATGACCCAACACGCAGAACTATGTAATACACAATGAACAAGGATAACGTATACCGGGCCTTAGAATGGCCTTACCTTTTGTGTCACTTTACCCCACTCCCTCTAGCATGTAAGCTCATTGAGCAGAGGTATCAATACCCCTCTGTTTCTGTGCGTCAAACTTGTCTAGTTATAATTACATGTTTGTTAGTCCACCCATTGTAAAGCGCTACGGAACTTGTTGGCACTATATAAATATAATAATATTAATAATGGCTGAACTTAACGTAAATAAAGAATGGTCAAAATACAAGACAAGGTCAGGTACACAGAGACACAACAAAGAAACAAGCCAAAAGTCAAGGATACAAGAAAAACGGGGAAGTCAAAATACAAGCCAAAGTCAACTACCAAAAAGAACTAGAATTAGGAACGCACTCTCTGTTAACCAACTAGTGAAAACCACTACAGGGCACTGACCAAATACTATTT